ATCCACATTGGTTCATAATATTCTCTCATCATTTCATATGATCGGTGTCCGCTTCGCGATCGGGTCCTTAGTCCACGTACCGTTTCCTAATTAGCCATACCCTATTGGTTAGTATCCCGAGAGTGATCAGATCTGGGCGAGACTTACTAAAATGAAATGCGAAATAATGTCAATTTTATTGATCCCGAAATTACATCGAAATTCGGGTTTTTACATAACTCTTTCGAGAGCTTCATCTGGGACAGGTCCATCGGGCAAAGATGATGCCTAGCAGATTTTGTAAAGCCTCTGTACATAATAAGGCATGATGCCTACACCAGCAGCCACACCAAATAAAACGCACAAGTCACTGCGCTGATATCACCTTCTCGAAGATCCAATCCAGCTGTGTACTTTATCGGTAACTCTTATCTAATTCTGCAAACCAAAGAGCTGCTAACTGGCCCACATTGTAGCACTGCGATCCCGTCCAGTAATCCTGTTTAAGAGCAGCTACTGTGCATAAAAGAATTGAGTTGCACAGGCATTGAACTGGTTAACACAACAACTTATTCATCAGTTACTGTTACAGTGGCCATACTTTTCCAACTTGTATAAGAACAGACCACAAGAATACAAATTTCACAAGCGAAAGATTGGGACAAACTTCAAACTCAGAATATGTCATAGCAGACAGTTCATCCACAGAAAACCCAGATTACATATCTAAGTACTATTCAGAAAGCACACCAATTTCCGGGGGATAAGTCTAACTTAAATCCCCACCCGAACAAGGGCGATCGGTTCTGCTTGAAACCAGCACCTAAAAGAAAGATCCAAAATTTTGCTGTCCTAATTCCCTGTCCATCAGTTTGTTTATCAAAGATAGTTTAACAACGAGCTTATTAACCGAAGAGGACCTACAGAGCAGCTCAATGTGAATCCGGTTCTCTGTTTCATCATCACCTCGAGAAACAAAAATCATCAGCCTTGCAATAAAACTGCTGCTAAGAGTTGAAGCAGATGACTGAGTATGCGGTCTCTCGTGCCCATGCATCCAAATCAAGGCGATTACGGGAGCACGTCTACGCAGAAAATTGCACTTTAATCTAATTACACCCCTTGGTAACGAAAGGTTACTGTATGTAATTTGCTACTAATATAGCATTAGTTTGGATAATGACACGTGCGATCTACCAACTTTTTTTCAATGTTCAATATAGCCCATAAACTGTTTTTTTTTTTTGCGCTCGATCTAGCACTTGAACTTCCAAACATTCAATCAAAGTAATCGTTCTATTAAAAGTTCCAACGTCGTTAGCTGAGGTGGCCATAATATCTGTCAACTTAATGTGAGATTTGTCGTGTTGGAGTCCACCTAGCTTCCACGCCATGTCTCTCTCGTTATTGTGGTCCAAAAAGAAAGGGTGAATTTCGTAAAGGATTAAAATCACGAAAAACTCTAAATTTATATACCTGTAATAATTTTACTTCAAATTATTTTTTTGACTACAAAAAATTCCAAACCGGTATACTTATGATAAATTTATCCTAAATTAATTTTTTGACCACTAAAAACCCTAAACTGGTACATTTGTGATAAATTTACCCTCCGTTAGTTTCCGTTAAATTGAATTAATATTACAAAAAATCATAAACTGGTACATCTGTGACAAATGAAGAGTAAAACATAAAAATGGTACATCAGTTAATTGTCACGTGTCATTCAACAAAGTAATTTGACAGTAAAATTTAACGGAAATAAACTAAGGGTAAATTTGTCACAAGTGTACCAGTTTGGGATCTTTTGTGGTAAAAAAATTAGTTTTGGGTAAAATTGTCACAGCTACACCAGTTTGAGGTTTTTCGTGGTATTAACCATTCCCTAAACTCAAAACTTTAGGTCATGTCCAAAATCTGCCCAAAACCTTTTTTTATCTCAGAAAAAACCTTAAACTTTACATCCAGTCCCAAATCTGCCCCGAACTTTATTTTATGTAAAAAAAATCAGCAAATTTCAATTCATTTTAAAAAATATACCTCGTTAATCTAGTCCCAACTTGACGTTGCACTTCCACGTCATAATAAATCCACATTTGCAAAGTAATTGGGTGATAGGTACAATCGACGTCGCATTTCCACTTCGATAACAAATCAAACCAAATAAAAATTAAACCATTCTAGGATATGAAAGTTAGGGACGATAACAAATTCACTCCAAAAATTTTTTAATTTAAAAAAAACCTAATTTTTAGGTTCAGTCCAAATTTATTCCGAACTTTTTTTTCTCTAAAAAAAAGCCTCATTACTTTGTTGATGTGGATTTGTTATCGACGTGGAAGTGCCACGTCAAATTGGGACTAGATTACCGGGGTATATATTTTTAAAATAAATTGAATTTTGGTGATTTTTTTCACACAATTGGGTTATTTTTTGAGATAAAAAAAAGTTCATGGTAGATTTAAGATTTAACCTAAAGTTTTGGGTATTTTCTTAGACAAAAAATGATTCGGGATAAATTTGGGAGTTGATCTAAAATTTAAAATCTCTTAGGAAATTAGGCCCAAAAAAGAAAGGAGAAACAGGAAGGAAAAGATACATTTGCTAACTTGGGAGTCGACAATCCATGTTACTATTTTGGTCCAATAAACGCTAACGTGATAGATCACGTCAAATAAGTGCCGCATTTACAACGATTCTCGCGCTCGGAAATGATTCTCGCTCGAAATTATTCTTTTTTATTCTGCCCGGAATTGATTTTGAGCATTTTAAGGCGTTTGTTAACGGCCCAAAATTCCATCCTGGAATAGAAAAAGAAGTAAATGCGTTTAGTAACGCCACAAAATTTCTTTTTATTAATAATATTTTTAAATATTTTAATATTTTTTCTTTTTTTCTTTTCTTTTTTCTTTTCCTCCTTCTTGGCCATAGCCTGTCACTGCCATGACCGTAAAATATTTTTTTATTAATAATATTTTTATTAAAAGTATTTTTCTTTTTTTTTGCCATGGCACTGTCGCCGCATGACCGGTAAAATATTTTTTTTATTAATAATATTTTTATTAAAAATATTTATTTTTATTTTTTTTGGCCATGGCCTGGTTGCCGGCCATGGTCGGTAAAATAATTTTTTTATTAATAATATTTTTTATTAAAAATATACATTTTTATTTTTTTGGGCCATGGCCTGGTCGCGTAAAATATTTTTTTTATTAATAATAATTTTTATTAATAATATTTTTATTAAAAATATATATTTTTATTTTTTTGGCCATGGCCTGTAAAATATTTTTTTATTAATAATTTTTTTATTAAAATATTTTTATTAAAAATATACATTTTTATTTTTTTGGCCATGGCCTGTCATTCGGCCATGGCCGTAAAATATTTTTATTATTAATAATTTTTTTATTAAAAATATATATTTTTCTTTTTTGCCATGGCCGGTCACCGGCCATGGCGGTAAAATATTTTTTTATTAATAATATTTTTTATTAAAATATTTTTATTAAAAATATATTTTTTTTCTTTTTATGGCCATGGCCAGTCGCCGCCATGGCCGTAAAATATTTTTTATTAATAATATTTTTTATTAAAATATTTTATTCTCGTTAGATCCGACGAAGGCGGTCCTGGCCGGACATTAGAAGCTAAATTAAAAACCAAGAAAAGGAAGAAGAAAAAAAATTGATTCTCAAAATTGTTCCCGAATCAAGAAGCTACTTTTTTTATTCTTGATTCTCGCTCCAAAACTATTCTGGAAATAATTTTTGACAAAATTGTGCCTAGAATCAAAAAATTAAACAAACGCATTGCTCCCAAACCGATTAGAACAAAAGAAACAGAATCAAACACTGTTTGGCAAGTTGTCATGCGCAGCCTAAGTGCCAATGACGTGACCATATATCTAACAAAAAGATTATACGGAGCGAATTTCTAAAAGTTCAAAAATCAAATTGAACGGGAAAGGTCCAGAAATTCAAAACATCGAAGAAAAAACCAGGGATCATCTATATTGTCGCGCCGTTGCGTTTTGTGTTTTGAGTTTGACCCGTGTTTCTTAATTTGATTTTACTCGAGGCATAACCTGGCCGACCACATGGAAGAACCATCTTTCGTGTGGCAGCAGCTCTCTCTCTCTCCGATTTCCAACTTGAAATCATTGCACTGATCTAATTGCTCGGATTATTTGACTTTCTGGGGGCTTTTAATATGGAAAATAATCATGCCCCAAACTTTGTCTAGAGCTTGTTTTGGGGACGGTTCAAACTGGCTGTGAACACTTAATACAATATTCCCCACCCATAGCTGGCCACCACTGACGTTAGAGACCTGCGTGATTTTCTCATCTTCCTCTTTGGCTGCGATGAATAGTGTCCTTCGAGCGAAAACCCTCTCGTCAAAAGTTGCTAGCTATGGATAAATTTAAAAAAAAAAAAGATACTTGTCAATGCGGATGCTTACCATTCACTTACTAAGAGACGATGCTTAATCACATATACAAAGTCTCTCCAATTAGATTGAATCAATGTTACGGTATTAGTTTCGCCGAAAGCGGCATCCATGCTCATTCCCAATTCTTCTCTAGCGATCCCTTGCGATTTACCACCTGCGTTATCTTGAGAATCGATTTTTCGAAACATTCTTAACGTCTTTAACATTGGTATCTCGCACTTGAAATTCAGTCAAATAGTCAATTGCCTATTAGATCTTAACAAGTGCATTAGATTTTAACAGGTGTGTGAACCGCCAGTGCGTCGTGTCACCGTTATTCCATAATGGTTCATTATTTTATATAAACTACACAATCTATGGTCCCCCTATCATGGCCGAGAAATGTTCACTAAATTTGGCCTGCACGTCACCATCTTTTAAAGAAAACCTTAGTCCCATGAGTTGAAGTTTCAACACGGTATTAGCCAATAATCAAACCTTGCGCACGAAGCGGTCCCGTCGTTCCAGGGAGACGTCGTAGAACCGTGCTTAACTAAACCAACAACGACAAGTCCCCGGGAATCTCATGCACATGAAAATCACTAATTTAATCAGACACCCAAATCGACACACGACATACCAAGGGTAGTTAATGTCCGAATGACAAGGACACCGGCGACATGGACGGTGAACAACTTTTCAAGAATTCAAAAGAATTAACCAACGATCGCCCGCCGGCCTACGGCCATCGGAGGGGGGGTCAAAACTCGGGGACGGGCAGGTCCTCGTCGGCCAGCGACTCCATCACCCACTCGCCGTCCTCGTCGAGCACCATCCCCTTGTTCTTCTCCACCCACCACGACGGGGGCACCAAGCACTCGTCCTTCAGGAAGTCGCACGACTTGTTCACCAGGGCCAAGCTCCTCTTGACCTTGAGCTCGAACTCGCCGTCCTTGCCGTTCCAGCCCGCCACGATGTGCAGCATCGCCTGCAGGTTGTGCCAGTCGCTCGGGTTCTTCGAGTCCTTCAGGTGCGGCGACTTCCTCGTGTCGATCTCGAGCTCGACCCCGGTGTACACGTACCCCATCAGCTTGCTCGGGTAATGGGGGATGAGGTCTATGGTGTTCCTCACGTGCAGGAACTTGAGATTCGGGTAACTCTTGCACCGCTTGGCGAACGCCTTGTTCCCCACCTGGGGGCACCCGAAGACGAAGGCCGAGACGGGGATGTCCTGTACCCCGTTCTCGACGATGTCGAACGCGCTCAAGATGGACAGGCTTGCGCCGAGGCTGTGGCCGGTGAAGGTGATGCTCAGATTCTCGCCCTGGTACTTTTCTCGCAGCTGGTTGATCTTGGTCAAGAGCTGCGTCCTCGCGCTCAGCTTAGTGAAGGGCGACCTCGGGTCGTTCGTCGTGTAGATGGTGTACCACCCCAGCATGACTTTCGGGACTTCCTCGTCGTCACGGTCGTCGTCCTCGTCGCTGCTGCTGGTGTTGTTCTTGGCCTCCTCTTCTCCGAGTTCATGTCTGCCGTTGGTGTTCGTGCTGAGGAGTGACTCGATGGACTTGCGCTTCACGCCAAGGACGTCGATCCACTCGTAGTTCCGCGTCGTGCCCCGCCACACGATGTAGATTTCGCGGCGGCCCAGCTTTGCGCTGACCTCGTCGTTGGTTACAGCGATGTAGCCGATCCAGTTGGACTCGCGGTCCCACGCTTCCCGCGACTGTGAGTGGAACAAGAAGTTCTCCTTGGTGCTGATCCGTGCCGTTCCGTAGAGGAAGGCCACGACCTGCTCGTGCGGAACACAATACCTATACCATTACTGTGAAGTCCTCGACTAGAGACTCTGATTCATAATCAGACTGATCAACAATCCAAGATAATATCCGACGAATCGAAAGCCTAAGATTATGAAAGAGGTTCTCGAATTCGTGTAATCCAGAGAAAGAAATCAGCAAAATGTTCCTACACAGGTCCAGTTTAATTGGCGTTTCTAATCATGTGTCGTTAGCGAGTATCAAGAGCATGGATGAACATGAACTACTTGGTCAACTATTCCTCGTGCTAAAGCTAAAGAACATCCAGCATTTGAAATCCGTCACAACCAGTTATGAAACCAAACAAGAAGGTAATCAGGAAATCCGGGACGAAATTAACCTAACCTCGTAATCGGAACCGTTCTCCATCATGACCTTCTGGAAGAAGTTGGCCTTGCCGTAGCGGCTGCAGCCGCAGTACTTGGAGTTCTGGTCGTTGATGAAGGTGTCGTAGGTGGCCTGTATGAAGTCGCCGCACCGGAGGACGAGCCTCCGGAGCCCCAGGTCGAGCGGCTCCAGCAGCCCCTCCCAGTCCTTGCTCCCCATCAGCTCCGCCCACGTCGGCTCTCGCTCCCCCGCCTCCGCCATGGTGGTCATCCCGGCCTTCTGCTGCTGCTGCTGCTGCTGGTTGTGGTGGATGTGGTGGTGGTGGAGAAGGTTTTTAATGTGATCCATTGTAGTGATGAGGGGAGGAGAACAGGGAATACTGCCAAGGGAAAGTGATGGATATTGGATTGAAATTCTGTGGTGCTCTCTTTTCTAGCTATTGCGCGACCCCACCAGTGGCTAAATAGTAATTGGCCTCTCGGTCAACCGGAGGCATCCGATTGGTCAACGACCCATTGGAGTAGAGGACGGTTTCGCAGTATTCAGACCGGTGGGGAGTAATTAATTATATAAGATGAGCTCGGCATGTATGGAAAAACAAAGCGGAAACGAGTGCATAACATGATGAAACAGACATCTATGGTTATGTTACCGTGCTTAGGATGCTTCTGCTGCAGCCTCGGTCGTTCGATGCTGGACGGTGTTTGGGCTTCATCCGGAACGAGATGTTGACAGGTTGGGTTTCTTTTAGTGCAGGTAGGAAAAATGGCGACGACCCTTCTTGAACGCTTCACCTTCGTCCACTTTCCTCTGCGTTTTCTTTCCTCTTTTTGTGGCTGCTGAGCTGCATTTTCCTTGTGGGTTCGATGGCTGTCCCACGTGAATTGAGATCCCTCCCTCTTTCGTTTTCTTCTGGGGGGATTTAGTTTGTTTGATCTGCGCGTGTCCTCGTTTAATGCGTGTAATCCGTCCTCGTAACGTCTTATTTAATGATATCCGGAAAAGCAAGATCACGCGAGCGAACGCGACTCAAGAACGGTGCTCCCTCTTCTCTTTTGGATCAACTGGGTCTGGACTTCTGGCACGTCGGCAAAGCGGACGAGTAACCTCCGGGTGGTGTTCGACCGATGAACTCTCCGCGATATACACCCGAACATTCCGTAATAGACGAGAACGTGTCACGAACCCGAGTTCAATCTCTTATGCCTTTGGTGAGGGAGAGCAACTCTTGTCAATCTCTCCTTTTCAGAGCCTATTTCAGAAGGCTAATGGTGGTGATTTGGTCCATCTTTTTGGGGATACATTATTGTTTGCGGGTGGCTGTTTTTTCGCCGGGTGGTTGGGTGAAGAACGGTCAACCTTGTTTGGTATAAGATGTAATCATTCATTAAATTTGTGGGGGGCGTCAGTGCAGTCCATGGTAAATAATACAAATTTCGTCATGCCTGACTGCATGAAAATCTGTTGCAGGATTTGGCATTGGGTTGCGGTAGTTGAGGGAGGCGACAATCGATAAAGGCCCAAAAGAAAAAAAATTACTTCGAATCCGACCCGAATCATGAGTTCAAGCTCAACTTTATTGGTCGGTGATTTCTACAAGTCTAAACTCAAGTGACTTGAGTTTCGAAAATACTCTCCGGTCCGAAAAATAACACTATGCAATTCAATTTATCGAAGATAACCCAATTGGGGCGAATCCATATCTTTTGCCGCTAACTCCATAGTTTCTTGCTTCTTTTTGGATTTCTCTTAGCGTTGCTATGTTATTGCTCCATCAATTCAGCGACCCATATATAGACCCATCAAACAGGTGAGTCGGGTCGGGTCGATAATGGATCGATCCAAATAAATCCATTTAACTCTTTTTTACCTCATTTCCATGCAATGCAAAATCTAATTACACAAACCCGACCAATATTAATAAAAACACTTATATATTTAACCAAATTTATAAAAACTTATACTCAAACTTAGATGAGAGTGCAGAGTGAGCAAACGCGAGATCGAGTAAGAGCGAGAGAGAATGAAAAAAAAGTCATAGAGATGGGTTGGGTCTAAATAAATTGTAAATTCATTTAATATCCATATTATGTTGGTCTCTATCATTCTAAACCTATTTATGATCCAATTACTGAATATAACTAATCCATATAACAATTCAGCCCATCATATATAGTTTAAGAAACAAGCTATAACCTATTTTGACAAATCTATCCATACGTCAGTCAGAATTCTATTTTTCCATGCTTAAAATACATAATTTATTTTTTGCACCTGTAAATCTCAGTAATTGTGGGTATGACTTTTTTTTAGGTATCATCATATTTGTGACATTACATACTCTAATATAAACTTTGTAAATTGGCAATTTATGGATTATAGTACCAACTTGTGTTTGGATAATTTACTAACCTTTCGATTACAAACTCTTATATGAAATTATCAATGGCATTGTGAAGAAAGTTAAAAAATATAAGTTGGTAAAACATAAGAAAAAATATATTTTTTATCCGAGATAAGAGAATTTAGGAACTTATGTACAAAAACCAAATAAACTTTGGAAACCAACTCAAATAAGAGTTGTAATGCAAAACTAGTTGGTAACTTGATTGAAAAAAAAAAGCTGGTGATCACTCTAGTGAAGATTGTTAAATTCTCCAAATGGTTGGTAAGTTCAAAAAGTTGGTAAGCAAGATAATTAAAAGTGGGAAATTGATAGAGTAGTAAAAAAGTTCATGAAAAAAAGATAAATGATTGTAAACAAGTCAAATGAAAGTCAGTAATCAAAGTTAGTCGGTGGTTTAATTGGGAAAAGTTATAAGTCACACAAATAGTTATTGATAATTTCATATGATAGTCAATTTATTTAAAGATAAATAAAACAATAAGCGAAGCTTTGTTTGTCAGACGTAAGAGAAGTTGATATTTAAAATAGCTGAACAAACATTATTAACTAACTCAAATCTGATTTCGTAATTTAATTAATAAAAAAAGTTGATTTTGTCACTCTAACTAAGGTTGGTAATTTTTAAAAGGAATAGGTAAATTTAAGAAGTTGACAGATAATCAAATAAAAGTGGTAACAACTAAAGAAAAACAAACAAAAGTTGGTAATGAGTAGTTTAAATGAGAATTGGTAACCAAAAAAATTAGTTGGCAACTTATCAAGGAAAAATGACAAGTCGCTTGAATATAAGTTTGTTTTCGTATAACAGTTGATACATTTAGGGCATCGGTAAGAAATGCGAATAAAAGTTTGTACATGATAGATAAGTTATTCTTTGTTAGAAATAAGGGGAGTTAGTGATTAAAAACCATATAAATGTTGGTGACTAACTCAAATGAGAGTTAGCAACGCAAATTTTGTTGATAATTAGGTTGATAAGTAACTCCAATAAGAGTTGGTATCACAAAACTAGTTGATAAATTAATCAACTTACTCAAATAAGAGTTAGTAACGCAAATTTTGTTGATAACTAGGTTGATAAGTAACTCAAATAAGAGTTGGTATCGCAAAACTAGCTAAAAAATTAATCGGAAAGAAATTGGTAAGGTCACTCAAATAAAAATTGGTATATTCATATAAAAGTTGGTAAATTTAAGTTATTGTAAGAAGGACAAATAAAAGTTAGTAAAAAGATAAGAAAAGTCGACAACTTATAAACTGTGAAAATGAGTTAGTAATCTCATAAGAATGTTGGCTACTGTATCATTTTACCCCACACTTTTTATAACAAAATTTTGAGATCAAACTTTCAAGCGGCATTTTATATGTCCAACTTACAAACTCTTTTTATTTGGTATGCAAAAACTATTGACATTAGGCTCCGTTCGTTTGGCGGAAAATATTCTCCTTTTGGAAAATATTTTCCTGGAAGTCATTTTCCTGGAAAATGTTTTCCCGAACATAATTTTCCGGTGTTCGGCGACTAATATGAAAAAGTTTCGGAAAATATTTTTCGCCGCAGCGATCGGCGGCACGACCGGTGGCGGCGACCGGCGGCCGCGACCGCGGCGGCCGGCGGCCGGCGGCAAGCGGCGGCGGGCGACCGACGGCCAACGTCCGGCGGCCGGGCGGCCGACGACCTTAGTGAAGAAGAAGAAGAAGAAGCTCCAGAAAATGATTTCCGCTTTGAAGAAGCGAAATCATTTTCCACGACTTAGGCTATTTTGTGAAGGGAAGGAAAATATTTTCCCACGGAAAACGTTTTCCGCCCTCCGAACACCGGAAAACCCGGAAAATATTTTCCGGAAGAATATTTTCCGTCAAACGAACGGAGCCTTAATATCGAAAAGAAAAGGAGAATAAATACCAACCGCTCAATTATAAATCACCTTAAATATATTCGGGCGGATGTGATTTTATTTCTTTGTATCCTTCTTCACGCCTTCCTCTCTAGAATTTGAAAAACGAAAATACTAATTATGTTTCCAAAATTATAAAGAAGATAATAATGCAACGAGAAAGATTTCAAATGTGTAGGATTTTGTTGGAATTAAATTCATGCTTGAGTTTTCACAAAATATACAAAATCTAATTAAAAGAAGGAAAATATTATAAAAAAAATGGGTTAATTCAAAAAAAAAACACCAACTTTAGGTCGAGAGACAATTCTGGCCCGAACTTTTTTTTGTTCCATAAAAAAGCACCAACTTTAGGTCGAGGGACAATTATGGCCCGAACTTTTTTTTGTCCCATAAAAAAGCACCAACTTTAGGTCAAGGGACAATTCTAGCCTAAACTTTTTTTTATCTCGTAAAAAAGCACCAACTTTCATTTAAATCCCAAATTTGGCCCCCCATTGATTTTCTGTTTGAAGTTACCCTTATTTAAGAAAAAAAGTTATGGTGGTGAGCCTAGCGAATCTCTTCCATGGCGTCTGTCGACAGGCGATGGTCTATAGCTTCAGATTACGACAAAATGATGAAGTTTGGCCAAAAAGATTCAATCTGGAGATATTTTTTACTTGCCGGTGAAATGAAGGAATTTTGTTGATAATTAAGTTGATAAGTAACTCAAATAAGAGTTGGTATCACAAAACTAGTTGATAAATTAATCAACTTACTCAAATAAGAGTTAGTAACGCGAATTTTGTTGATAACTAGTTTGATAAGTAACTCAAATAAGAGTTGGTATCGCAAAACTAGCTAAAAAATTAATCGGAAAGAAATTGGTAAGGTCACTCAAATAAAAATTGGTATATTCATATAAAAGTTGGTAAATTTAAGTTATTGTAAGAAGGACAAATAAAAGTTGGTAAAAAGATAAGAAAAGTCGACAACTTATAAACTGTGAAAATGAGTTAGTAATCTCATAAGAATGTTGGCTACTGTATCATTTTACCACACATTTTTTATAACAAAATTTTGAGATCAAACTTTCAAGCGGCATTTTATATGTCCAACTTACAAACTCTTTTTATTTGGTATGCAAAAACTATTGACATTAACATCGAAAAGAAAAGGAGAATAAATACTAACCGCTCAATTATAAATCACCTTAAATATATTCGGGCGGATGTGATTTTATTTCTTCGTATCCTTCTTCACGCCTTCTTCTCTAGAATTTGAAAAACGAAAATACTAATTATGTTTCCAAAATTATAAAAAAAGATAATAATGCAACGAGAAAGATTTCAAATGTGTGGGATTTTGTTGGAATTAAATTCATGCTTGAGTTTTCACAAAATATGCAAAATCTAATTAAAAGAAGGAAAATAAAATAAATAAAAAATTAGGAAATTCGTCGTTTTTTCACGAAGCAAACCGACCTTTATCCGGTGGCCTGCCCTCCCTCCGCCTTCGAGCCGAAGGTCCGAAGAAAGCATTTGCAATTTTCTCTGCAGATTCAAGCTCGCATCCCCGGCGTGGCGTCCCCCGTTCTTCCCTGATCGCAGCCCTTCGCATCGAACGCATCGGGTCGTGATCGGCGAAGCCTCGATCGGAATCGGGCCCCTCGCCAGGCCCCCTCGTTTCGGTAGGAAATCCGGTCACCGATTTCCCGGGACGATGGAGGAGGAGGAGGAAGGCAGGGTGAGGCGGCTGATCGAGAAGGCGACCGACACGACCGCCTCGGAGGTCGACCCTCGCCTCCTCAAGGCCATCAAGTCCGTCGTCCGGTGCTCCGATCCGGAGCTCCGCATCGCCGCGCAAACCCTCATGTCCCTCATGAAGCGGAACCACGCTCAGGTTCGCGAGACGTCGCCCGGTTGGCTTAGGTTTTTCGATTTTCGATGTTCTATATTAGTTGCTGTGCGTGCTGCGTGTTTGTGACGCTGTGCGGGATGGTGTGATAGGATAAGGCGACGGAAATGGGGTTTTTTTAGGCGTATTGCTTGCCCTGTTGGGGAATTGAATCGGTTGTTTCCTTTCGGCCGGAAGCAAATTGGCTGTTTCCTGGTTTAGTGGAAGTCTTTGAGATATTGGTTCGAGTTCGTTATTGCCTAGAGAGTTTCAATATGGCAATAAGGAAGGTTGAATTCCGGGTTAGTATGAGATTTCCGGTCTTAATCATCAAAAAGAGTTGGATTTTTTGTGAAGATGTGGGGTTTAAGTACACATTGTGGGATCGGTTTGAAATTATATGCGACGCGACGAGCTTTTGAATGCGTAATGCTTCTTTGATGGCGTAGACTCAACATGTTGGTTTATTGGGGGTCTTTTTTTTTTCTTATTTTTGGTCTTAGATATGAGTCTTCTGTAGATTGTGTTCTCACGTTTGGTGTTTCTCAGGTGCGGTACATATCGCTGCTTATAATTGATGAACTCTTTATGCGATCAAAGCTGTTCAGAACCCTTATCGTCGAGAACTTGGATCAGTTGTTAAGCTTCAGCATGGGCTTCCGGAAGAATATGCCGCTACCAGCACCTCAAGCTGTTGCATCTCGTTTGCATTCCAAGGCCATTGAGTTTTTGGAGAAGTGGAATGCTTCTTTTGGTGTTCATTACAGACAGCTTAGATTAGGATTTGATTACTGCAAAAACAATCTTAGATTGCAGTTCCCTGATACACAGGGAAATGCAGCTAGGATTCAACAGGAGAGAAGGGAAAGGGAGATTAGAACTCAAGAAATTTTACGCAAAAAATTCGAAACTCTCAAGGAAAGTTTTCCCTTGATAAGGGAAGAAATACAATCCACGGTGAATGAGATCGAGGAATGTCTGGATATAGTTAGTAGTAAGGAGGAGCCAGTGCCACTTGTCCCCCTTGATGATGAAGATTGTGATGAGTTTCGATCTCGTGAAATCCTGCAGCTACGTCTTGCATCATTGAAAGAAGCAGAAAAGGTTCATGAGGATGTGGATAACAAAGTTTTGTTTGATGCATTGAGGGAGCTGTACAGACTTCTAGTGACAAGGCATTTAATTTCTGTACAAGAATGGATCACTGTTGTTGTTAGAGTAGATGTGACAGATAACAGGCTGAGAGATTCGACTTTGAAGGAGTTAATCGACGTTCAAAATAGGATTCAGTTAGTGAAGAGGAAATGTGAACAACTAGTTTCTGCCTTACCAAGTACTGCAAAGCATGACCTAGAAGAGGAAGAAGATATCTGGGAAGAGGGAAAGATTCAACCGAGTGATAATGGGTCTTCAACAACACTGAGAAACCTGTATGAAAATCCCTCTGTTCCATCAACAAGTGGGTTGAAAAGCATGACTTCTGAATGCAGTATTGGAGAATCCGGTGGCAATAAGGACTCCAATGAAACAGACTCTGGAAAAAATACTTCGAGGACTAAGCTCTTGTTACAAGCTCCAGTGATGAGATGGGGCTCTTACTTGGATACTTGGGGTTCGAACAGTGGTGTTCTGGCTAATCAGAGGGGATTGGATCTGGAAAGTCATTGGGGTCGGGTAGACTATGATGCTGTTATTCCAGCAGAAAAAATTGCAGAGCTGAATGTTCAGGCAACTCTATACAAAGAAGAGCAAGTAAATATTAAACCATGCCATGCTCCTTTAAGCAGAGGGGGCCTCTGTCAGAGAAGAGATTTAAAAGTTTGCCCCTTCCATGGACCCATTATTCCTCGTGATAGTGCTGGTCATCCACTTGACCCGGATGTCTCTGCAGATGGTAGAACTTGTGGTCCAGAGACTGATGTAGTGAAGCAGTTGGCAAAACAAGCTGTGAAGAATGTCAGGACTCAAGATAGAGAAGAAATAGAGAAGAGAATAAATGACAAGCAATCATTGAAACGTGCCAAGCTAGCTAAAATTCGCGAACACAATGAAGCAGTTCTTCGTGAAGCTGCATTGGCTTCCACTTCAAGATCCGCAGCTATTGCAGAAGACATTGACAGTATTGGTGCTGATAAACCATCATCCAGAAATAAGAAAGAAACACTCGCAGCCATGCTGCGCAAAAAAGTGACGACGAAAGATAGATTGTCTCAGAGACTTCTGAATGCCCGTGCAACAGATGCAGCAGTCAGGCAACTGAGGTCGGATGAAGATTCATGTTACAGAGAGGCTTTCCCAAACCAGTGGTAGATGAATGTTTTTTCCTTAATTTAACGAAAGAAGTGTGTGGCTACAGTAGTGGCTTTCAGTGTATAGATGAAGACCGTAAACTTTGCATGTCTATAGTACAGCTTGTAGGCATGTCGGAGATGATTGCTTCTCATTTTTCTTTCAGTTTAGCTGAGAACTAGGAATTAGACTTAAGGAACAATTCTTTGCTCAACTTTTGTATTCTTGACACTTATGAAATATCAATAAGAAAATAGATTGTACGTTTCCCTTAACATGGTCTTTCTTTATCGAGGAACACATGCATCTATTGAATCGTTGACATGTACAGTTGGGAATACTGTTAGTGGACTCTTGCATTCACATGTTAATAACCATGCGTCTCATATGTAGCAGTGCACAGGTTTTCACTATGCATTCTGAAATATTCTTGTTTTCATTGTACTGGGCCAAACTCACAATTTCGTTGTGCAAACTATGGTTATGTCACACCATTGCAGTGTTTGTCTTGGGATGGTTTCTTTGCTAACTAGACCAGGAAAATGGTACCTCAATCATGCATATCATCGATGGAAGAGGAATGTAAGATATTTTTCATAGCAGAGTCTGTTTGATATCTCCTTCGCAAACATACAGAAATTGTTAAGCTCTCAGTAGATAACGATGGTCATTTCTGCATCCATCACCATCAAAGAAACCATCCTCTGCTCTCTTGGTCTGCAAAATAGAAGTAACTTATGGATGCAGCAGTACCGCATGATAGCTCTGCGATGCAGCCAGATTTAATCGTAACTCCCACATGGGGAAAAAGGGAAAAGAATCTTAATCTCGTAGATTTTGATACCTCTGCTATCACTACTGGACCTAAAGATTTCATTTATCTTTCTAGATTGTTTGTTACTTTAAGAAATGGACGATTTGATGATTTGAACCCTGATCAATGAAATAGTTGACATGTGCTGGAACTTGGAGGTAAGATGTAGGATTCCTCAACGCAGGCAAACCATGGAGATGGTTGAAACACTTCATGTGCGCTACAGGTGAAGGATAGGACAGGACAGGAAGGCTTACTGAATTTCATGTTCTCAAGGATACGATAGAACAGGAGAGGATGTGCTTGACGAGGGACTGTTCTTCCAGTAGAAGAAGCTTAGCCATTCTGTTACCTGGCAATTTCTTCGCCAACAGACACTGAAAGCAGGAACGCAACCAAAAAAAAAAAAAAGGCCGGATGAATCAGATATCCACTCCGCACCTTTTTTGCCTCATTGCGGATGAGATATCATCGGCATAAGAGAAGTAACGTGTGTCGCTCCATGCCCAGAGGTGCAGAGAACCTGTGGCTTTGACATTAACTATTTGGTCACTAGTCCTAAGATAGGATGCTGATCCGTTCTCTCCTTTTTATCTGGTCCATTTCAATTATGCCCTCCCAAATTTGACTGGAACGAATCTGTAAGACCAATTCTCGAGTTGTGTATGTATCCTCTGCAGTTAGTTTTGATGGGGTGATTTTTGGGGCCTCTTTTGTCTTCGCCGGAGCTGTCGATCCTTAATCCTTATACTTTGAGGAGCTATTTCGCTTTCTCGCTTCTCGTAATTGAACTGGGAATCTTTGTTTCCTGTTGAGCAAAGTGCATCAAAGAATGATTTTGTCCAGTTTGTGGATATTGCATTAATACATAAAGGATCTTCTTTAACCCACTTTGTTGTTGGGCCAAAAATCACCTTTAACCTACTTAATTCTTATTATATATCTCCTGGAGCCCTCAGCACACTTACTTTGATCTGGTTGCCATGCTTCTCTTGAAAAAATGCTGATGCTCATCCTTTTCAATCAGAAGAATTCTCCCTTTCCCTTCCTTTTTTTTTGGGTTTGAAGAATAAAGTGGGTACGGACCAGAAATGGCCGAACTAGGACTGTGCACAAGAGAACACAACACAGTAATTCCATATAGAAAGGGCTTGGATTTGGACCCCACTGAATCACTGATAGACTTTGCAAGCTCTGTTCATCCAACTCCAGAGCTTCAGTTACATCTCTGCATGGCGAGACTGAGCTTCTTTTTTTCTTTTTTCCTCTTTTTAAGTCAGGTATGAAGGGCCAATTTTGCTTTTGGTCCACTAGAATTCTGTACTCTGAGCTTCCATTTTCCTTCCAGGGGGATAAGACTGATCACTGGCACAGGCAGCCCCGGGCAATGAGGACCGGAAGCTCTCATTGTCCACCTATTCTACTAAATTTCCCTGTATGGTCCATTCAGATTCCCTAGCTCAACCGGTCGATTTCTTTAAAGAGAAAAACCGCGTCGGCACAGGACATCCATATCATTCATGCCCCCCCCCCCCCTGAAAATAGAAACCGTATTTAATTTCGAGACATGGGTTTATTATACTTTTTGTGATTAGCAAATGTTGAAAAATTTGTCTATCCTCTCTGTGGATAAGAATCCAGAGAATCGGCCTCAATGATGGTTCTTGGTAGGACCAAGATGCAAAGTTACTCCGAGGTCAGCTTCTATCATTGCTCAAGAATGATCTAAGAAGAAATTTGCTTTCAAAGTGGGGGTCTGTGTGGGAGGGTCACTGCCATCAATTGGCCAGAAAAGAAAAGGACCCCTTTTACATTTGGTGGGGTTTTGGGGCAGAGAACTTGGACTTATTCTTTTACTGAAATTGGGTTCATTCCTATCACCTCCTCTTGTTCTTTTTTGGTTTTCCCTTCATTTTCCCACCTACTTTTGAGGAAAAGAAATTCAGAGGGACATGGAAATAGGAGTTTGTTGGAGGAAAACCTTCTTACGGGTTCAAAAAGAGAAGTGGCTTTTTATTAGTTCAATCGAGACACGAAATTGCAAAAGCAATTCGATTAAATATCGGGACTTTTGACTTCGGTCTATTTTCACGATGTCGTGAAGCACTTGTTCGAATTTCGAATGAAAAGATTAATTCATGAACATTGTGGAATTTCCCACTCGACTCTCATGTAGTTCGATGATTGGAACGACCGGCTGGTCTTTGGATCTAGCCTACACAAGTATGTCCGTGCAATACCGCGACCGAAAACCGCTTCATGCGCTCCTGTTTTCCACGTCATCGTCCACATCGTTACCAGTTAAAGACGCCGCAATAACGGGCTTTTTTTTTTTTTGTGCGATTTCGGGGTAGCACAGTGCTATCCTTTTTTCCCCTCTCGAATGTGTAGAATAAAAAATCATCATTCCACGGAAAAAGACTCGAAACTCACCAATCTGATTTCCATAAGATTCTGTACTTAAAGGGAAGCAAAGACATGGGGATGTGGGATGCTGTCCCAAAGTTGGGTAGGTCTCGGTCTAAATCGGAACACACGTTGCTGAAAGTTGAAAGATGAAAGTAATTCCTTGTCACTCCCACTTGTCTTTGTTCAAAGTTCCTGGGAGATCATTGAGATTGAATGTAAGCACGCCATTCGACATAGTTGCTCGAACCTTCGGTTTTACGATGACGTTTCATCATGATATTCTCAGTTAGACAACGCAATGTAGGAGGGAAAATTGTTAAAAAAGTCCTAAACTTATTATGTGGTAGTCAATTGAGTCGTAAACGTTTCAATTGTACCAATTGAGTCATAAACCTTTCGAGAATTTGTCAATTGAGTCGTGAACCTTTCGAGCATTTGCCAATTTGTCATAAACATTTTGACGATTTGCCAATTTAATCCTGAAATCTTTTGACGATTTGCCAAGATAGTCTTTTCGGCTAATTAACCAAATTATAGGTTTAGGACTAAGTTGGCAAATCTTCAAAAGTGTTAAGACTAAATTGACACGATTGAAAGGTTTATGACTAAATTGGCAAATCGCAAAAGGTTTATGATCAATTGGCACAATTAAAAGGTGTATGACTAAATTGATTATCATACAATAAGTTTAGAACTTTTTAGACAATTATCTCCGATTTAGGATGGAGGTTCTTGCCGCTTCCACATGGATTGATTCCCACTCGTTCAAATTGGTCGTGAAGATCAGTAAGATCGACGGTGGAACTTGAGAGAGCGCCCAACAAGCACATGAATGAGGGGCATCATGGTACGATCACTAACATAGATTCGGACTGTTCTTGTTTAAGAAACTCTTGCAAGTCTTGATTTCAGTTGAGATCGGAACGTGGACTTTGGAGGCTGCAAAAAGGTTGGTGACGCAAATTTTTTCACACGGTAATATGTTAAAGGTCAATTAGGGTTTCAATCGTCCTTCTAGTCGGCTCACCTGCGTATCTTATGATCGACGCGCCCACAATTATCACGGGGGAAAAATAGAAAGAATGATATCCGTTGACCGACTCTACAATCATCATGCGACAGAGAAACAGCGCGTGTCGGAAACTCTTCCAGTAACGAGCAAATCGCTCGACGTGTTTCTTGACGTGTTCAGCTCCCTCATTAGTAATTCGGTTACCATATCGCACGATCGAGACATGTCGGTTTCCATGCAGAGGAAGTGAACCGATTACTTTTTACGTGCAAATACATATAGGGAAGGTATCGGAATCATCACGGGGGATGCAAACGGGGATGCGTCAATCTACATCGAGGCGCTACTCCCGAGTTACTAATTAGGTTTCGGAGAAAACTAATCTCTCCCCGTTGGCAACCCCCTCTGTCTCTCTCTCTCTCTCCCCAAAAAGACCCGCCTAAGATTTAAGTCTTATTAATCGCATACTTCGGCGATGCTGATAATTCTATAAGTGACTTCTTTCCCAAATGGGTCATCTCTCCATTATCAAAACATGTCAACAATACGATGGCGGTCGGTGCCTGCAAATCGGCTCGTTAACATGACCCGGATCATTTTCATTTCTTCCGCTCCGTTCAAAATTAAAAAGAGGGGGAAAAAAAAAAGAAGGGAACTTTTTGTAAGGGGGGCATGTTCGGGGCAATTGGGGGCACGATGCGGATCATGAGTGCGCATTTCCCGACAGATAGATAAGAGAGATTAGAACCTCCGACCAAAAAAATTAAACGAAAAAAAAAAAGGGGGAAAAGAGATTAGGAGAGGTTTTTTAACCGATTATTTTAAATCCGATTAAACTGAATTAAAATGATTGGGGGAAGGGGAGCGTCGTCGTCACTCTCTCCATCCCGGGCGTGGGTCTAACCCCCTTCTCTCTCTCTCTCTCTCTCTCCTTCGCTCGCTCCCTCTTATTCCTCATCGAGACAGAAGAGAGAGAAAGTCTCATTTTGAGAGAGAGAGTAGAGAGAGTGTGAGGGAAGAAGGGAGTGCGAAAGTAGAGAGAGAGAGAGAGAGAGGGAGAGAGAGGGGAGTGCGTCGTGCCTGTGCGCTGTTCACATGGCCTCCATGCCCTCCTCGGGGCCTCACCACCACCACCACCACGGCCACCACCACGGCCACCACCACCCGCCGCCGCCGCCGCCGCCTCAGGCGGAGAGCGACCCCCCGAAGCTCGCCTCGCGGCAGCATGATCCAATGGACACCGATAAGGTCTCATCTCTCCTCCCTCTCTCTCTCTCTCTCTCTCTCTCTCTCTAGGTCGCGCTGGACGCGCGGTTTTTAGCTTTTGTAGTGGCTGGCTGTGCGTGGCGACTTTCTGAGATCGGCGATCTTGGACGATCCAGCTCGGAGCCGTCGCTGCCGCTGGAATTTTGAGCGATCTTCGCGTTTATAGGGTTTCGCTCCGCTTCGCCGGAGATCTGAGCTCGCGTATCTGGGGCTTTCTGAGACTCTGCCGTTGGCGGTGGTTCGGTGTGTGCGCGTTCTAGGTCGCTCGATGTCTCCTCTTCTTGTGAATGCGTGTTCGTGTGTCGACCTTGGTTTTTCGTGATGAAGATCCGATCTGTCGGTCCAAGCCCTGCCTTTTGGGCACATTCGCTTTCCTTTGGCTCTTGGAAAGAAAACGTAAGGGAGAGTTAAAATGATTTTGGAGTTCTTTGCTGAGTGGTTTTTTGATTGTGATTGAAGATGAAGAGAAGAGGCATGAAGGAGGATGACCGTGAGAGAAATCGGTTGGCGCAAGCTCTGTTGAGCTGAGTTCTCATTTTTATCACTTGCTAGTTGCTAAGGACACGGCAATCTCAATGTTTACAGATGTAAATGTTTTCACTTTGCTAGTATTATTGGCGGCCTGTTAGGGTTTCTCAGAAGTGATTTACTCTTGTATTCGTACGTACTCAAATCTGTTTACGATTCCCTAACGTTGACTCAATTTATTTTTCTGCCATTTGTCATGACGATCATGAGAGAATTCCCACTTTTGATCTTGGTTAACTTATTAAATCATCACGTGATTGGCTTTTGCTTTTTTATTTTGTTCTCAGGGTGTTTTCTTTTCATTGCTTTGGTTTAAAGATGTAGCTTGGTTCAGTCTTTTAGTGCGAAGGTCGAGGTGTTTGGAGATATGACTATACAAAATTGCTTCTTGCATTCTTAAATTTGAGATCATCAAACTCATCTTTATTCAGCCTCACCCCTGCAACTCCTTGTCGTTCCAGTTTTTCTTACCCCGTGGTGGTAGATTTGTTGTTGCTACCAAAGAGTTCTCAGGCATCTTGCTTTTGCTCTTTGAATGAGCTCGTCGTTTTCTGTTTGAATGTAAGCGATCCTTCAATATATGTCAACACAAAATCAGGCGAGATCGTGGAAACTCCTTGACTCAGATGGCGATATAATGTCTTTTCATTCTTTCTGCAGAACATGTGTTGCTTACGTGTATTCATGACCGTACACTTGTTCTTTTGTACTTTGATGGATCTGTTTGAATCTATAGTGCAAGTGTTATGACTGCTGAAGATTGACGGTGTACTAAAATTAAAATTTAGTGAGACTGACGTTGTTCGTAATAACTGCTTCGCCAGTGCAATTATAGTCCGTTACTCGAATTTATTGGCTGTCTTGAAATTTCCTTTTTAACCCTGCATGCCATTTTCACTACAGGAAGCGTCACCCGCTATTATCGAGAATAACGATGCCGTCACTGGTCAGATTATTTCAACCACAATCGGTGGGAAAAATGGTGAACCCAAGCAGGTAACAATAGCTGTATTTTCCATGGCTCTGGATGTATCTAGACGTAGTCTTTGCATTCTTCTTGCCGTTGAAGTAAGCTACAGCTCTTTTAAAGAGGCATCGAGTTACTTGTTCTATTAAAGTCGAGTAAAAATGCAGTCCGACTGATATCTCATGGTTTGCCTCTGAGAGGTGGTACCTACTTACTCAAGAAGATTCGCATCAAAGTTGGAATTTGTTTCAGTTAGTCGTCAAGTACCGTGTTGTCCTCCAAAACTCAAGTGTTATCCTTCAATGCTTCTTGTAGACCATCAGCTATAAGGCGGAACGTGTTGTTGGCACTGGATCTTTTGGAGTAGTTTTCCAGGTACATTGTTGGGTTCCTTAAATCAAATGCCGCCTTCTTGTTTCAACCTTACTAATATGCTATCACTGTTCTCAGGCAAAGTGCTTGGAAACTGGAGAAATGTTTGCCATAAAGAAGGTTTTGCAGGACAAACGCTATAAAAATCGAGAGCTGCAGCTAATGCGTTTAATGGATCACCCAAATGTTGTTTCGTTGAAACATTGCTTCTTCTCTACTACCAGTAGAGATGAGTTGTTTCTGAATTTGGTCATGGAGTACGTACCTGAAAATATGTATCGGGTTCTGAAGCATTACAGCAGTATGAACCAGAGGATGCCGCTTATTTATGTGAAACTCTATACATATCAAGTATGGACTGTTGTCTGTTTTTTTGGTAAAACTGGAAATTAGGGACTGTTATTCCTTGTTTGGCATAAATTTGAAATCTTTCCTCATTCAGTCATATTTAACAGAAACTTTTTGACAGATATTTCGAGGGCTAGCGTACATTCATAATGTTCCAGGGGTTTGCCACAGAGATGTGAAGCCACAAAACCTTCTGGTATTCTGCAGCATAACTTTCTTATCTTTCAAAAAACTATAGTATTTGTCCGGACATCATTCTTATCGATACCTTGCAGGTTGATACTCTGACCCACCAAGTCAAGCTTTGTGATTTTGGGAGTGCAAAAGTTCTTGTAATTACTTTTCCTTTCTATTTTCTCTATTCTCTTGACTTATTCAGCTTTCTTGCATGAGCTTTTCTATATTTTCTTCGCCCACTGGTCTTCTTGAGCTGTATTTCTTATCATATCATTAGCAATAATTCTTCAGTCTTACATGCCAAGACAGGCATTTGGCTTTCCATTATAAATGCGTATTATGTATCACTTTGGGATGCATGTTTCTTGTCTCGGGCCACCCCTTACAAGAATGACATGTTATTCTAAAATTGACTATTTACTGTTCAGTTTATTAAACTTCAATATGCAAACATTGGTTGCAATAGTTACATTGATCTTGTGGTTTGTGCATCATTTTAAGAGTTTTAAGATTCCATCAGGTTAAGGGTGAAGCTAATATATCATACATATGCTCTCGTTACTATCGGGCTCCGGAGCTTATATTTGGTGCGACAGAATACACGACATCGATTGACATTTGGTCAGCGGGTTGTGTTCTTGCTGAGCTTCTCCTTGGTCAGGTTAGTCATGTTTGGTGCAGAGTTATAAGTAATCTATGTCAGCTTATTAATTTGCTACTGAAAGTCACCGCTTGATTTTTTTTTTTTTTTTTGTGTTGGCGGGCCCGCCGGGGTGGGGGGGGGTGGTTGGGGTTTTGGCCCGCGTGTTATGTCTGGGGTTAGATATATCTATTATAACTTTAACTGCTATTTAATTCTTTCTAAAACGTCTTTTGCTTTTGTAGCCATTATTTCCTGGAGAAAATGCGGTAGACCAACTTGTAGAGATTATCAAGGTGAGCCTATCCACCAATACTGATTAGATAGTCCCTCTGGTACCATTTGACCATATATTTGATGTAACGTTTCAGGTTCTCGGTACACCCACTCGAGAAGAAATTCGATGCATGAATCCAAACTACACAGACTTCAGATTTCCCCAAATCAAGGCTCATCCTTGGCACAAGGTTAGCCTTCTGATTTCATTTTATATAAGTACTGTAAATGTTGTTATGTCAGCCTTCTGATTTTGTGACTTAGTTTTGGTTCAAACAGTGTTGTCTAGAATGTCTCGCTAATTTTGGTGTTGACTCAGTTGCATCTATAGTCATGTGTGCATTCTGTGTATCTTTAGTTTATTTAAAAATTATGAAGTGTGAAAGATACCTTAGAAGGCATCTGATGATATTAATGTTGTTGAAATGGGACATCATAATCTTCCACTGAAGGAAATGCAGTTTCCGCCATTTGAAGATCAGATACTTAATGTTCATCCAATTAAAATATGACTGGTGATATTATGCATGTGGGGTTTTTTCTGATGTCTGAGATGAGGTGCCCTGTCCACCTGGCTATCATATACTTTTAATTTTTCAATAGTACTGGCATTGTGGACTTTATTAAATAACATCTATGATGTTGCCTTTTAGGTATTTCACAAGAGGATGCCTCCTGAAGCGATTGACCTTGCATCACGACTGCTTCAGTATTCACCTAGTCTTCGCTGTACTGCCGTGAGTGAACTTATTTCTGATCTTTGTATTAGATATGTTGCGACCTTGGTCTAAGGACTCTCTGCATTAACAGAGTGAAAATGTTTAACATCTTAGCTGCAAATCTAGATTATGTTGTTTGTAGCGGTGGATTCTTCTTTTTGTTAGATGAACCGTCAATTTGTGGTGTTGAATTTATTAATTTAATCTTTATCTCTTCCATCACATTATCACTGATTTCTCCTTGATTGCTTTGCAGCTGGAAGCATGTGCCCATCCTTTCTTTGATGAGTTGCGTGAGCCAAATTCACGGCTTCCTAATGGTCGCCCTCTTCCGCCTCTGTTCAACTTTAAACAAGAAGTATGCAATCGACCTTTTCTATTTTCTTAATCTACATGAGATACATGGAAACACATAATTCTTGGCTGTTCATGATTCCTGTCTGTGAGAGTATAGTTGCATTTTGTTGCTCCTTTTCTGTGTGGGGACAATCATGGATTTAGTCTCACAGATGGATGGAAATAGAGCTCCTCTCTCTCCTCCTCTTCTTAATGTCTAAACAATCATTAATCAATGTAGCATCATCAACCATTTGTTCCATCAGCTGCTGCTTCACCAGAAGGGATAAAGAGACAAATGATTGCATTCATTTGCGAACTACTAATGACAAATTAAATGTGATTTGGGGTTAAATAGATGTTTATGTCACCTCCTAGAGTCACTGATTGGGAAACCTATATCTGTGTATGAATTGGGACATGGACAATGCAATGCTCCAGGATCATGAGGCAGAATGTATATCTTATATATTCCCTGGGCATCTCAAATCAATTGTCCCTCTGCCTCTTCCATGAAAGTTATGTCTTCGTTTTTTTACGGGCACTATCTGATTGACTGTTGCTTGGCCTTAGTTGATTTACACTAGCTCAGTTACTGTTTTTGGCCTCTCATCCTGGTCTTTTTATAGTCTGACTGGTAACAACTATCAGGTTTGCTTAACTTTGATCTGTTAGTGCATTTTCACATTGGTCTGATTTTCGTATCATGGCTGTGCTTTGAATATCTTCTTGTGAAACATCCATGTATATGGGACTAGTATCTGTTGGCTCTAATAGTAGGTCTGCCTTGCTCCTACCAACTCATGACTACATGGCATGCATGGTTTGCTCACTCGTTTCTCAAGTGGAGGGCCGATTGAATTCGAATGGCCTATTAACTGTCTTGCTTGTCCATGAAATCAGAATGAACTGTTGTTGGGTTAGCTGCATTAGATTTCTCTCGTTTGTGGTTCATATTTTATGATTTAAACTTCTTATTTTACCGCATTTGAATTATTGTTCAACAGTGTTACCGGAATTTTGTCAAATCTCCTGTCGGCTAGTTGACAAATTTTTGTTCTTGTGGAAGGTTAGTACCTAACTAAGATTGATCTGAATGTGTCTACAGTTGGCTGGGGCTTCACCTGAATTGATTAACAGGCTGATACCAGAGCATGTGAGGAGGCAGAACATTCTCAATTTCCCTCATCCAGCTAATGCATAAGCGTAGAATGTGAAACAAGGAGTCGATCATCCAGTACTTGATGGAAGTGAACATAACCGAGGACCATCTATGTGTTCTGCAGTTTCAGCCCTGCAATCAGCTTTTCGCGCCCTGCAAGTTGTGGGAATGGTGATATCTCAGCTTTTAGCATGGAAAGTGGTTGACTGTCTTCTCATGTCGTTCTAGCAAAGAAAGATAGTATTTCCTTGGATGTACATCATTTTGATCCTAAACTCTAGAAACCTTAGGAGTATAAAAAATGTGACGCTATTTATGTCTAGTTATGTAGGGGCTTTACAGACCCAAAAAGGAGCTTAAGTTGCTCATTTAAGTTAGCATGGCTTCCTTTTTTAATATGATGAAGAAGAATATGGTGTTTGTTTCCAGCTTGTGAATGGGTGCTGTACCATGGGGCATCGAGATCTCGGTCCAAGTTTGTTTAAATTGTCTTCTTTCGTGGAATTCGATGTCTCTTCTCTCCGTAGATCGAAGATAGATTGCTGATCTATCCAACCCATCAAGAGTGTATAGGTAAGCTGATAGATGCATCATTGTCGTCCCTTTCTGCAAAATTATATTTCCAGGAGGAGATTACTCAAAGAATGAAGCTGGAGGTGAGTTGAATAACTACTAGCAATCTTGCTTGGTGATTCTTGACTGATTGTTGACAGATACGGTATTGATCTTGGAACGACGTCGCTTGATGATCCAAGCTGAATATTGTTCGTGTTATCTCAGATGCCATTGCCAACATATATTTCCCTGTGCAGTGCTCTTGATGTATGAGCTTGTGTTTCTATTTGATTGTTTAAAATAAATCATCGAACAAATTATGATGTCTTCATGGTCTCTGGGTTTCCTCGGACTTTGATTCAAGTGAAGTGGTGAACAAGTTGTTGATGGAGTTGCGGTCGTATGTTTCTGTCGTAGACACGGGCAGAAAGATTTTCAAGGATATTAACCACGGTTTCGACATTTAATTCAGGTTGGCTCCAAAAGGATAAAGAGATCAGCATCTAACTGAAGTGAGCAGGATCCACAACCATTTTAAGAACAAAAGGCTTTAACATTGCAGAAGTAGCTTCTTGATCACTAGTGGAGGATGAAAAGAACTTTTGTCCCGAAAAAATTAAGGAACGACAACGATCGATGCAAAGGCTCAAAATCCACCAAACCAAAGGACAATCTGCCCAACACAAAGTTACAGCATTAGGTAGACAGAATCATTTGCCAAGACTCCACCACGAACGCTTTCACCCCAGCGAAAAAAAAACATGCTTAGGTTAGGATACAGCTTGGACCTCTGAAGAAGCCTCGTGTAACAAAATGGAGAATTTCTTCTTTATAAGCTCATATCTGGCACGTTAACTTCCCTTTGAATGACCACGTCACCCTGTGGCTTTATTCCTTAATCATATCTGTTCTTTGACATCATCACCTAACAACATGCGTGACATCCTTATAGCTTAGCCTCCATGTTTATTCATTTGGCCGTGACTCAGCTCATTAGAGCAAAAATCGAATGTCTTTTTCCATACCCACATGAAAGAAATCTCTCCCTATTTGCTTTGATTCTCTTCATTTTCATTATCAAAATGCAGGCAAAAGGATATCACAAATGCCATAACTTTAGTATGAGTAAGCGCCATAGTCGACTTTTTTGTAAGAATCACTTGAGTGCCGCATCAGTTAAAAACTATTCACTTTGAGTGTTCATTACTTATCTTGCTTCCATCCAAGAGCGAGAGAGATCCATAAGAAGCAAACAGCGAGGGAATGGAATATATGCGTTAGAGTTCGATGGATCGAGCGCGTGATGATAGCGTAAGTGGTTAATCCCTCTTGTAATGGTTCGCTTAGTTAGCATAATCATTCATTTATGCTTTATTGTGTGTGCATTAATTTTGTAGTGCGTGATTAGATATGATTCTATATCTGATTATGTATGCCGGATCGATAATAAGTAATAATAACTAAGGATAGGATCCTTTTAGCGAGGTGTGTGATTTGGAAATGAACTGGGAGAAGGCTGGTGGGCTCATGATAACTCGTTCCAACGAACTAAATCGCACATCAAATCGGAGGAAATTATTTCCGAGCGATATTGATTAACGGTAATGTGTGGCGGCAATAGCCGCTTGATTAATATGAGGAATGGTGTTGAGTGTGCGGGTTGAGATTCTGACGAATTTACTTTTGTGTCTTATCCGTAATCCGCGACATATGTATAGTAAGAATCATGTTCTGATTCACCATATATGAGCATGACAATTTATATCTATCTCTAATGGAGGCGATGGATTACTTACTCAGTCGATGATCCGGTTACTCAGATGTGAGCCTGACCACCAAACAGTTCTTGCAGGTTTCATTGAATTAGGGAAAATATAGGTGGATCTTGGAAATAATCAGAGTGGCACGGCGGAAGCGTAGTAAACATCAATTGTTTCGACACCTTTTCGTGTAACTTGTAGTACATTGGCCGGCTGGCCAACATCGACTTCCCTAATCACAGGCTCAAAATCCACCAAAACAAAAGAATAAATTTGCCCAACCCAAAGTTACAGCATGAAGCAGACCAAATCATTTGCCGAGACTTTACCACGTCCGCTTTCACACCAGTAAAAGACATGCTTTAGTATGCAGCTTGGACCTCCGAAGCCTGATGTAACAGAAACTGGGGAGAAGCATTCCCAGCAAAAGTTGGAAACACGAGTATAATTTGGATTTTATTTTAACGGTTCACCTGTAGCTGTAAAAGTTACAATCCCCAATTCTCACGGGGAAAAGAATGAAACTAGTCAAGAAACAACAGGGGGGTGCTCTAAATCGTGCGCATGCTATTGCCCATCTTCCTAACTGCAACAAGATGGGAACTGAAAGAAAATCTCATGACACTCATGATGACAGCAAACTACTTTATGGAGAATGCAAATCGAGAGTAGCATTATTCAAGGACTGACGTCTCCTCGATTAGGTACTAAGAAGATTTCGTGACCATGTTGATGGCATTTGCCAGATATCCAACGTTGCCAGTGGTTACACCTGCCATACTGTAAGAAAAAGGTTTGCATGTGAGGAGAGTCGATGTACAAAAGGAGGTGATTCCCCCAAATACATTTGTGGTGGATTTATTACCTTATACGGCCATTACGAGTCATGTAAATGTGATATTCTTTTGTCAACCGATCAACCTGCTCTGGAGTCATCCCACTGTAGCAGAACATACCAATCTGTGTTTGGGGGAACAGACCGTTAAGAACAGGAAATTGTGTGTAACTGATGCTAAAAAGCTTACAAAATTGGACCATACCTGTTCGGTTATGTGCTTCCATGATAATGGTGACCCAAGCTTTTCAAGGTTTTCTCGCAAGGCAGTACGCATCCCAATGATTCGGTCAGCCATTACCTGAACAGTTGCAAGGTTGATGTCAATTTACTTCTCGACAGGGGAGGGTGATTCATGTTCATATTAATTTCTTATGCCACTTCTAAACCCAACAGATATGCAGGACGTGAGAGGAGCAGCTAAAACAAAAGGAAACTTCCAAGCAACTAGGAAAGCCAACAGAACAAGCTCTGCACCATAGTTCTTTGTTTCTTTCAAACAGCAAAACTCCAAACCAGTGAAAGTAAATACAACACAAATGATTGTTTCTTTGTCGAATTCTCAAGGAACGAGCTAAGCCAAAATTGGTAGCAAATTAGCATAAATGGGCTAAAAAAAACTACCTTAACTTCCTTGAGCCATAAACTCTTCAAGTCTGGATTGCTAAGAATAGTTGACACTATGACGGCACCATGCAAAGGTGGATTGCTGTACATGGGTCTAGCAAGCTGCTGCAACTGACTTTTCACGGCAATGGCTTGTTTTTCATCTTCACAAAGAACACTGAACAGCCACAAATAAGCGGATAAAGCATGAGTTTCTATTCACTCCAGAATGAGTGGCAATTGAGTTTCCATTCATTGATTGTCTTGAGGATGCTTGCTCTTACAATTTCTGTAGGAAGATCTTTTCAACTATATTTGTATTATTCTCAAAAGTTTGAAAAGGAGACTGAAGAAAACTCTATTAGCTTCATGCCCATGATAATTTCGACGAAGATTCGAGAGAAAAGAGAATGTATGTCCACTTTTTCCTCAAGCGCAAAAGCATTATCTCATATCTCAAAAACATTTCCTCCCTCTGACCCAGAGGGATCTGCAAAGGTCCCAGTAAAAATACACTTCAGTTGAGAGTTTCAAGAAGAGTTCCTTTTACCAAGTAGAAAAGGTACTACTAAATAATTGGCCCTAAAACTTAAGACATGGCAAGCACAAAATTTCCATCCCCAATACCCAAGTATGCTCAAAATATCCAAAACAAATAGTACAACCGCTAAAAATGACTCTACCTCAGCCTCAGTATTAGACAAGATAATTACCTGAGGCAACCCACTCTCTGACCATACAGTCCCATGTTCTTTGCATAAGATTGAGCAATTCCAATTGCATGACTGTCCTCAAGAAAGATCCTGATCGACTTTGCATCCCTTTCTGGATCACCACTAGCAAATCCTTGATATGCCATGTCAAAGAAAGGAAAATGACCTTTGACCTGAAAATTGTGTCAAATCTCAGTCACAGAAATAATTGGTGAATGATTTTAGTAGGCGTTTCCTGAAATTATACCTTAAATTGATAAGAAATCTCTCTCCACTGGTCCTCTGAAGGATCCACCCCAGTAGGATTATGAGCACACGCATGAAGTAGAAAGAAGGAACCATTCGGTGCATTCTACCGATCATCCATTGCAACCCCAGAAAACAGGTACCAAGTGTCAGCCACAAAAATATTAGACAACTAGAGCATACTCACGAAATATCATCAACAAGAGACGAAGGAGCTGTCGTCAATGGAAGAATACACTTTGAGAGTCAAAATGTGCCATAACTCACCTTGATGTCATCCATTAATGCTGCAAAATCTAAACCCTTAGATTCAGGGTGATAGTAATGATAGGTCCTCTGAGGAACGTGGGCATCTCTCCAGATGTTATGGTGGCTGATTATGATGACAACCAAGGCTTACATTACTCACAGCATAATTTACAACTTCAAACTCAAAAACATGTGTGTGTGTATGTAAGAGAGAGAGAGAGAGAGAGAGAGGGAGTCAGCAAGCTCACTTTGCCCAGGTTGGGACAGGTATGTAAATCTGGGACTCAGGACAAAAACGCTTCTGGAAGTCAGCAAAAAGGCGGCATGCACCCGTCCCAGAAAGAGCTTGTACTGCTGCTATTCTTTTGTCTTTGATGAACTCAGAGTCCTCACCATATGCCAACTTCAATGTTTCCTCCACCATCTTCACACTACCACCCATAGGAAGGTATTCCCTGTCCAGAAAAAATCAACCAGCCCACTCCTTGAGTTCATCTTATCTAATACATGAAAAATCCTACAAGTAAGTTTGTGCAGTCAACTATGATTACTCAATTGTATGAAAAACAAGGACATTCATTGAGGAAAATTAAAAATGTAAGCAGACTTAGGAATTATGACTGAAATTTCTTCTGGGACTCCATTTATGGCTTAAACTTCAAAACTTGCTTATAATTTAAAAAGAAAGAGAAAACGGTCTAAAAGACTATAAACTCTCAGCAAATAACCTTCTTAAGACATTCTAGTCTCCATAAATTTATTAATGAATACCACATAGTCATCAAATCCATCAAAACTAACACAAGAAGCTGCCGTTCTTCACAATGTGGCTTAAACTTCAAAACTTGCTTATAATTTAAAAAGAAAGAGAAAACGGTCTAAAAGACTATAAACTCTCAGCAAATAACCTTCTTAAGACATTCTAGTCTCCATAAATTTATTAATGAATACCACATAGTCATCAAATCCATCAAAACTAACACAAGAAGCTGCCGTTCTTCACAATGTGACTGGTTCAACTCGACCAATAAGAGGCAAGCACCACTTATTTATTTAAACTTGAATCTTCTTTCAACTTTTTGTTGGAAATTCTACTACTAGCACTCATCACAGAATAATTTTTGTCAAATAAGAGCTACAGTTTTAGATATTACGTTGAGAAACTGAATCCTGAAACTTCGATGAACGAACCCTTCATGTCGCTTGTGAACTATGAGCATCAGTTGAGTTTTAAATAAAGAAAGTAATCTACTTCACAATGGTCTGGTGAAAAACAAAGATATATTTCAAAATGGTAACAAGGCAAAGCAAAAAAATTTCTTACTTCAAAAGTATTTCATCGGCATTAGTTACACCGGAATGGCATTGGCCACAACTTTTGCAATAAAAAAGCGAATTAGACATGTCAACTTTTTCTATAGCTTTTTGCTTCAATCACTTGCACTAGTGTCCTTTAATCAGCATCAGCACAGTGATATTCACTTTATTGTCCAATACATGATCCAGTAGAGTACGTAGTCTAGAGAAGGAATCCGGACCAAGTGGAAAAAGTTGAAAAGTAAGGTTATCTTCAAATACCAACACCGAAATGGTTCCCAACGATATAGGATAAGGACCCATGGAAAGAAGAATCAAAGTGGTCAGTGGAGGATGAAGTAAAGGCGAGCTTGATGGACCACTACAATATGCTGCAACATGCTGGAAATGTCCCTTTCACGTTTTCACCATAGAAATGAGAGCACATAGTGACACCGTTAAGTGAAAAATGACTACAGTCCAATAACAAAAGTCAACCCAAATTAAGCTGTTCTACAATATAAGGACTGGGAATAAACGAACTCACATGTTCAGATTCCCGGCAATTCTCCGCTCCGCTTCTCTAACGCACTCAAGAACGACCGGCTTCCCATTATCATCGCGGTAAGCACCCTTCACAGCCATGCCATTCAATACAAATCAAACGGGCATATCACCAAAACATAAACAAAAAACCGTGGCACGCAATTTGAGCTCCTAGGAAGCTGAAACACTTGAGCTCGATGACTTCGAATCAAATGAAGCCAAATCAAAGCACCAATGAGCCGGCGACCGAATCCCATGTTTGGCAGTGCCAGCAACCAACTAAGCTACATAGGTAGAGCCAAAGTAAAAGACGACTGAAAAAGAACTAATTTTTTTTTTTACGTCTGCGGAGCAAGAAAGTACTCGAATTTCAAGAAAATCGCATTCCATTCCCAGTTTTCAAGAACATGCAATAGGAGGGGGGCATTTGAATCAGCAGACCCAGTGACTCCCATCATCCACAAAAAAAAGAAGAAGAAAAAAGTCGAGCTAGTACAAGAACAGAAATCAAGCGAAACAAAGTTGCAAAAGGCCAAAAACCAAAGAACAAGAAACGACGGAGAGCATTGGAGACAGCTTCTACTTACAACGCCGACGTTGACTTTGCCGGGGCTGGGGTCGGCGAGGAAAGCCTCGGTGACCCCGAGGATCGGGTCCTTCGGCGCCGGCTCCACGCTCCGCCAGCACGACGACACGGATCTCGCCCCGACCACGGAGCTCCGGCTCAGGATCCGACTGGTCGCACCGGCCCGGACCGCCATTGTGGTGGGAGGGGGGGGGGGAGTGATCGAGCGAGAAGCAGCGACGACGACGGAGAACGAGCGAAGAAGAAGAAGAAGCGAAGCAAGAGCTGGTGGAGAGGAGGCAGCGATCCGATTGCGTGACGCGACGAAAGTTCTTGGGCTTCCTCCTTTTTTTATAGGATGGTGCGGCGAGCGAAACCTCGACCTCGAAGTGTGCGACTCCGATCTTGCCGCCTGACGTTGCCTTTGACTCCACGGTGTCTCTTTATATGTGCAGGTGCTTCTGTTTTGTTTTATTTTATTTTATTTTATGTTTTGGTCAGAGAGAATTCGTTTGATAATTTGGAAAGTCGTCCTTTATTACACACCAAAACTCTTCTTGGTCGCAGGTGGGGGGCGGATCTGGTCTCGTGCTGACCGTGTTGCCGAATGCCGTGGGGCTGTCCGAAAGGGTAGCGTGGGGACCACGTCGCGTCCAAGCGCGTGGCCGGGGGTTAATTGCGCTCTCTCTCTCTCTCCAGATGGTCCCATGCCTGTTTTGTTCGTTAAGAAAGAAAGCGGTAATTATATTTCCGGTCCCCTAACTTTTATGTCTGTTGTGGAATTATGCCCCCGCAATTTTTTAATCCGAACAAGTCGAGCCGTTTCATCGTTAACTCTTTCATTTGCTGACGGGACATATTGATTTTGGGAAATTTTGTATTGTTAGAATAAAAATAACCGATTAATTGTTTTAAGAACGCGCTGCGAAGGAACGGAAAATAAGATGAATTACAAATTGCGAAAGGAACCGTGACCGTGAGTAAAGAGATGGAATAAAAGGAGCTCGAGGATCCGTGACTGATGTATGTCGCTTCTACTTATGTAGGAAATGAAAACCGCCCCCTGATTTTCTAGTTATGTGTAGACCTGTCAAACGTGGAAGTTGGGTCGGGTCGAAATGCAGCAAAAATGGTTCGACTCAAATAGATCATCCATTTAACCCGTTTTGATTCATATCCATCTAATGTAAATCTAGTTACACATAACTGACCTGACCCATATTGTTTTACCATTCCTGACCAAATCTAAGGAAAATTAATACCCAAATTGGCGAGTGAGAGCAAGATCGAATAAGAGCGAGAGAGAATGAAGAGAGTCATAAATATAGGTTGGGTCTAAGTAAGTTATAAACCTATTTATGACCAATTTATTGACCATAACTAACCCATATAACAAGCCAACTCTTCATATATGGGTTAATACATAGGTTTATGATCCATTTTGATAGGTTTAGTTACTTGTGAGTTAAACATGAGATTCGATTTAGGAAATTTCACTAAATTGTTCTCTCTCTCTCTCTCTCTCTCTCTCCTTTGTAGTATACAAGGAGCCAATCCAAAGAAAATCGTCACCTAGTTTTCTTGGACCAAAGAGAAGAAGACATGGGCCTGGGCCTCTCCAAATGGCCATCGTAGCCCACTTTTAGTGGTCATTGAAGTCCACAAGAGCCCTCCATTAAAAACCCTACAAGAGCCGAAAGGGTTCTTCTTGGCCTCCTCTCGAACTCTCGCCTCCCACCGTCGCCGCCGCCGCCGCCGCCGTTCCTCTCTGCTGCTGCTTGCCGCCGCGGTGTGACGTTCCACAATGGTGAGCCTCTCTCCTTCTCAATCCTTGTTCATTATCGCCTTCGTTTTCTGGATGTCTCGTTGATCTCAGCAAGCTTTTTGTGTCCGCGCAAATGCCGGAACCGGAGCAGGCGTCGGAGAGGAAGCTGTCGAACCCCATGAGGGAAATCAAGGTCCAGAAGCTCGTCCTCAATATCTCCGTCGGCGAGAGCGGAGATCGCCTCACCAGGGCCTCCAAGGTAAATCGTCTCATTCCGCGCGCGCACCCGAGTGAACTTCTGTATCTGTCTGTCTGTTGCTGCTTGGTTGGATTTTGTCCCGAATCTAATCCGATGCCTGATTCGGGTCTTGCCACTTGATGGGCTCTCAGGTGTTGGAGCAGCTCAGCGGGCAGACCCCTGTTTTCTCCAAAGGTTGGTCCTTTATCCCGGTTCGCATCGGATTCGATTCTCCGTCGATTGTTTTTGTGTCTATGTTCTCGATTGTAGGAATTAGGAACATCCGAGTCCATTAGAGTTTTATTTTCTGTGTCCTCCGTTAACAATTAAATGGATTTTGAGCTGAATACTGACCTTGGGACGCATCTGACAAGAGCTTTGCTAACTATAGACATTGGGTGGGTGGAAGCGAGCTGAAAATGCACTTGATTAACTAGGAAAAGTCGGGTCCTTTTTGCTTCGACTCAGCTCAAAGCTGGGCGTGGAGAACATTTGTTAAGAGTCCTTTTATCTAAAGGGTGTCCCCTAGTATTTTTCTCGGTTTCGAAACTTGCTGGAAAGAGAGAGAAAATTGAGATTTTGCTTCTGACTTTTGAGATCAGTTAATAGCTATTAGGTTCTGAAGTAGAGAACTTGGAATTGCTTCCCAAGCAGTGGTATGTCCCTGATAGATGATGTAGATCTATCTGGCATGGTTATAAATATTTGGCTTGATAATTGATGTTAATATACTCAGAAAGCCTTTGATAGTGCCTGAGAGCTTAAAAAAAAGCTGATGCATGTGCTGAAATGGAGTCTCCACTTGAACTGCAATGGCAGTCTTAATCCTTCAGATTGCTCTGTTACACAGGTTATTGGTGTTGTCTCTCTTACTAGGGATTCAGAGGCGGCCATCTGACAACTGTGTTTTTTGAGAGTGCAAGCTACCTAAATTTTTGATGCTCTGTTTTTTTTCCTCATATGCACATGTTAATGCCTGCATGCCATATATGAAATTAGTACGCATTGGATGCAGTAAGCTAATTGTCCTTTATTGGGACCTTATCAATTGTTTTGTTGATTATGTGGAGTATTCATCTGTCATCTAATGTACATCTTCTGTTATCTAATGTTTTATACTATAGCTAGGTACACCGTTCGTTCTTTTGGAATCAGGCGTAATGAGAAGATTGCATGTTATGTAACTGTAAGGGGTGAAAAAGCAATGCAACTTCTGGAGAGTGGTTTGAAGGTGAAGGAATATGAGTTGCTGCGAAGGAACTTCAGTGACACGGGTTGCTTCGGTTTTGGTATCCAGGAGCACATTGATCTTGGCATTAAGTAAGTCATTCCGACCCACCTAATTTCAATTAGGAATTCATGGGAAAAGTTTCGTCTTCATCATCCTCTGAAGCAATGCATAGTGTGCAATTATTATCTCAGTACGCACTCACCCAAGGAGTTTAAAACACATTATGTTAGAAAAGTAAATTAGAGTTTGCATGAGGCTTCCATCTCCTGTGTTGTAATTGTACTAGCCTCAATTTAGTAGTCAAATCTGAGTTTGCCGGTGGCCATTCAGTTCATTTATTCTGTTGAGCACTCTCTGCATGCTTCACCTGGTCGAGCATTAATTTATCTCTCTAATTTCTCTAAATTAACTACCAAGGAAGGCATCAATAACTGCTTTTATATTATGATTACTGGTCCAAACTGTTTTCCAGTTCAACTTTCCATCATAATCTGTTTCATGCCTTGCTTGCTGAATAACCTTGTTTCCTTCTTTCCTAGGTATGACCCTTCGACTGGTATTTATGGAATGGATTTCTATGTTGTGCTGGAACGACCCGGTTATAGAGTCGGCCGTCGTCGGAGGTGCAAGTCTCGTGTTGGAATCCAGCACAGGGTCACCAAGGAGGATGCCATGAAGTGGTTCCAGGTTAAATACGAAGGTGTTATCCTTAACAAGTCCCAGAATATTACCGGCTAGGATCTTAGATTTCTAAGAAGTCTGCTTGCTTTCCCTTTATATGTTCAAGTCGTAAATTAGGATCTTGTCTCCAATTTTTGCTTGGGAACAGATATTTTTATGTATCGGTTTTGCTTGGGAAGACTTGTTTTTGTGTCACCTCTTTCATTGTTTCATGCACATTTCTGATGTAGTCCTCTTCGGTCCATGTCTAATCGGATCTCTTCTCGCAAAACTAGAGCCTGTAGCTTTGGGAAAAAAGGCCGAACGAAGTATTTTTGCGTCGGGAATTGCTATATTTTTTTGTCCACGGGCGTGAAAAGTTACATTCTCAGCCAGTGCGCCTTACCCTAATCCAATTACTCTCTATACTACAATCTACCATCGGAACGCCACCAAGTTTCATATTAGCACTCATTTAATTGATAGTTTAAGCTATTTCCTCACACGCTAAGCAAGTTTCATGTTAGTGATCATTTACTCGATAATTGCGAGCAATTTCTTTTGATGAAGTGAATGAATCCCAACTTCCTCCCTATTAATGTAGCTGCCGCGAACTATGGAGTGGACCCAACATGGCCGAAAAGGAGCACGAGACTTTTAAAGGGCGTAAAGGGAGTCTACAATTGTATATCTGTCCACGTCAAAAAGTTTATTAGCCTGTCAAACTCTCCCAAACATTTAATAGTATGGAAACAGGTCACTCCAGAACGGGACGATTGGCAACCAGTTGCTCTGTCAATGCACCCTTTATACTTAAGCCATTAATGCCGGGGTTTTTGAAGTACCTAAAGTTGACCGGGCTTGAACTAAGATTGTTGAGACCAGAATCCCACGGTGAACCCTTTGCATCAGCATCTTCAAGTACCTGGCGCCACCATAGACAAGGCGATCTACTGGCGCCACCATAGATAAGGCGATCTAATTCATGCCTAGCCGCTGAGGTCATAATCATGAATTCGTGAAGCGAGCGGTGTCTTCATCCACTGGTTTGTCTGCTATACTCTTACTGTACGTTTGCTTGAGTTGTGTTCTTGTTGTGCCCATGAATGTTGGAGGATTGGTTGCGGTAAAGTAGTGGCTGGTGGCAGCCGTTTTTATTACGATGGAGGCGAGGGTCCGGAAATAGTCTGGACTCACAGAAGTGGTCATTGACGATGGTCATGGCCCGGCGCTAGCCGGGAATGGCCGGGAATGGAGCTCAGTCTCAGCTGTTCGTACATGGTTTTCCCGGAGAAGACGATGCTGTCCTCGGTGTGACCCGGACCAGTGATTTGATCCAAGGGCCCGGCCTGGGTCCCCTTTCTTTTTGGAAGTAAAAAATATATATTTTTGAGAAAAAAAAATAAAAAAAAATCGAAAATTAAAAAGAAAAATCAAATGAGAAAATGCTTAGAAATA